CTTAAACCTAATGACATTTGGATCTAGACCTATAATAAATGCAGACTTCTCAAAAAAAAAAAGAGTAACATATCTATGAACTGATATGGAGTGATTATAGGATACATTATTAAGTGAAAAAGGCAAGACACAAAACTATATATATATATATATATATATATATATGTGCAACTTTGTATAAGAAAAAGGTAATAAGAATATATATATGTAAGTATGAGCAAAAAGAAGCACAGGGAAAATAAACCAGAAACTAATGTATTTGGTTGCCCATAAAGCAAGGGGGAAATGGGATGGAAATGAGACTTCTCTAAAAACACCTTACATCTACTTGTGGCTTTTGAGCCATGTTCATGTTTCACATATTTAACCCTCCATCGGGCACAACTGATCTCACAGATTCATTGCACATAAAGATGCCACTATGAAATACATCTTTACTGTACTAAGTCACAAACACGACTGGCGATAGGATACAGTAGAGGGGGAAGATATGGAAGCGATGAGTCACGAGACTTAAGTTAACTGTTAGATATTTGAAAATTTATGTGCAATGAATCTGTGAGATCAGTTGCACCCGACGGAGGGTTAAAACAATCAACAAAGATTGGGGGGGGGAATCTAAAATGTAATACAAATAGAAACAAATGAATGTACCTATGTGTCAATTGACAGTACAACCACACAGAAAAAAAAAATTTGAACATAGTGTCTTGTGCACCCTCAGTGAGATCTATTCTAAGGGCAAAAAGAACAGCAAAGAGATCTTGACCTGCACTTAGTACATTTGTTGTTGGTAGTGGTTTTCGTGGAGTTATTTGGAGAAAGTGAGTGAGTAAATACATGGAAGCTGCTGGGAACCAGAGTTCTCACAATGGGAGAAGATACCAATATGGAATGAGGGAAGACACGGAGGAGCCCTGAGGTGTAAGTTGGAATTGGGGTTATTAGTATTAGCTTATGATATTAAAAAAAACACATATTTCCTAGCTCTGTCTACTGAGAGGGGTACACACTAGCGCGCGCACACACACACACACACACACACACACACGCACACACGCACACACAAATAGAAGTGGTTATACATGGATATAGCTGTAGATATATAAATATACACAGGTATAAATATAGAAAAAGAAAAAACAAACAGAACAAAATATTAATAATCAATGAATTTAGGTGAAGGGCTTATAAGCGTTCACTATACTTACAACTTTTCTGACGGTTTGTAATAGTTCAAAATAAAAGTCAAGGGAAAAAAACTCTTTGTCTCTATTATTGCCTCCCATCTAAATTACATCTTAGTTGCCCTTCTTTGGACTTTTGCTAGCTCAGGTTTATCTTTCTTAAGTGATGGTGACCCAAAGTGGCCATGGTAACCCAGGCACAGGCATGCTGTCCCTTTAAGGCGGGTGAGCTGGTGTCTAGCTTGTTTTATATGCTCCTTGGCAGGATGCCGTAGCACCTGACAGGATCAGATTTCTAGGAAGCGGCTCCCATGACTCCTCGGGCTCTTGCCAAGGATGGAATCAAAGTTCAGAGCCCTGTATGGGAACCACTTCAACTGCTAATTTACAGGCACATTAAAACTGATGGGCTGTTCTTCTGTCCACTGACAGGATCTATCCCCAGTCACTGGATTCTTCAAATCTAGAAGAATTTAGTATTGCCGACGCATTCGACAAACACTCCCTGAGCATCGGGCACTGGCTCTCACTGGAGGAAGGGTAGTGAACACAGGCAGGAGTTTATGTTCAATGATGGCAGATAGATGATAGCAAACAAGTAAATACAGAGTATTTCAGCGGATGATAAAATCTATTAAAAAAAAAGCAAACAAGGAAGATGGATAGTGAGATGGGGGCTGGGGAGTGGTTTGCAATTTTTCAATAGGGCAGCCAGGGAGGGATTCTTTGCAAAGGTGACATTTAAGCAAAGGCTGGAGGTGA